AAATCACCAGCAGACAGCCAAAAACAAAATCTCGTTCTCTCTTTCCATCCAATAATAAAATGGATTGTGCCTCTATGTCCATAGTTATACAATGATAAACAACCGAAGTAAACACTCCACTCTATCCCTGCCCCTCCTCGCTTGACACACACACACACTTCTTATATGTTAAACAATGCACACATGCCGAACATACATGTATATATCAAAGGCTTTTAATGGACATACATGGTCAATCTCTGATAATTAAAAATGTGTTATTAGTTAAAATTTATTAAGATTGATTTATAAAAAATCAAAATTTTTTATCAAAGTTAAATTAATGCTTTATAATTAAGTACAGTGCATTTATTAGATTTATAGAAATATATATAGAGACAGTGTGAACCGACTTTTGAGGTTAACATAAATAAATGCTTTTAAACTCAGAAAGACCGTAGGGTTACACCTTGAAAAAACTTGAGTGGCATATACCCTTCTCTTAGATTATGTAAAGTGGTGCATTTTGTGGAAGGATTATTTTAGAGTTTTCACGATTTTTTCCTACGGTACACTTGAAAAAGAAGTTGCTCTCGTGAATTTACATATCCAACTACATGTACAACATATTGAATGCACTTTTTTTTATCTTATGCAGGGGCATTTAAGAAGTTGGTGATGCAGTGGGATTTTTTTGTAATCATATCCTTCCTATCAGTAAGTATATCTTTTCTCTTAATATGTATCCAACAATGATGAATGATTGATTGTATGTTGTTTTACGTCCCATGCGAGAATTTTTCATCCATGCAGAGACGTCCCAATGTACCGGTGAAGGGCTTCACATTTTGAACTTTACTCGGCACTTAGGGCCATTGAGAAGTGAGAGATCTTTATCGTGCCAGCGCCTTGAATAAATATAAAGTAAAAAATTTTGGGGAACTTTAACTTGTAAAGGATTCGTTTAAGGTGAACAATAATTGAAACCATCAACATATTTAGCCTTCGGTACCATCTCCATATCTATGTACGTGAATCGAGGATCATTTAACTAGCATATAGCTTGTGTGTTGTAAAAATTGATTCCTGATATGAAGGCTTCCATTTGACTCAAAGATGCATGAAATAGACAATGCAGCATATCAATTCTGCATTGTTAAAAATGATTTTTCTCTAAGCTTTGATGAACAATTCAACTCAATTAAATCAATTTCTAGATGCCTGTTGTAATGACCAAGAATTTCACTTGCCCAGCGAGCATGAATACAAAAGAAATTGTGGAATCCTGTCCAACAACTAAAGAGCAATGGAGAAGTGCAGCGGAAAGAAAAAATTGCACAAATCTGAAAGAAAAATGCCTAGACAATAAGGAACTTCTGTACCATTGCATTATGAACACAGAACAAACTCACCCTGTTGAAGTGTGTTACCCTGAATTTGTGGTAGCAGGTATGTATTGGAACAACGAAAGATAACTGTTTTATCATGTTTATATACTTTAATTATATATATATATATATATATATATATATATATATATATATATATATATATATATATATATATATATATATATATATATATATATATATATACTAGTATTTACAATATTTCAACAATGTAGGTGGATACTGCCTAGAATACAATGACGGCGGAATGCGGGTAATGCTTACTTTAAACATCAGCTGTCGAAATCATACAAAGAAGTGCCCTAATGTTTACTTGTCTTCCCGTGCGTTTGAATGTAAGTGAAAGATAAATGAATCATTTAGTGTATATCTACTAAAAACATACTTATATTAGCTGGTCAATTAATGAAATGTTTTTAATCTTTGCATTATGTCTTTCAAATAACCTCTTTTAAATAAAAAAAGCTTGCAATACAGTTTTGAAATCAAGTGCTGTATAAGTGTTATGAAACCTCAGTTCAGATATTTAAATTTTTTTCTACGGAAATACATGAACTATCAAAAATTGTACTGACTTTTTATAACTGTAAGTGGTAATTGTATTACATCTGTTTTCATTCTGGGACAGTGGACAATTGTTATTGTTATACCTTTAAAAATGGTTTCATTTACAAATATCTACAAAAAGTAAAACATATCCAATGTTTTGCTGAGTGGGCATAAAAATCGATGTTGGACCGCTGAGTGAGATGTTGGACCGGTCATTGAGTTGGACCGCTTAGTCACATAATGGGCGGAACTTAATATAATTTTCATTCGTTGGTGTTAAACATTGACAGACCTAAGGTACATTACAGAACAAAGTACACATTATATGTATGCCAAAAATAATAAAAGGAAATGTATAACAAAATATCCATTGACTATTTTCTCAGGCAAAATGCGTTTTATTGACATTTAAACCAAACTGTATGTCATTTGTGTAATGGCCATATGCAGACAGTTTGGTTCTTGGGTGTGACAAAACGCATGTTGCCCTCCATATCAATCAGTAAATGCATATTCATAAGTATTTATCCTTCATTTAACAAATCAAAGATTTAGCAATTTTAATTTCAGTTTCATTGAAGTGATGAAAAAAAAAATGAAAACACATAGCAGACCAGATGCGTCATGTTAAAATATTATTTGATTAAACGTCATAGATATGTCATCATCCTTAACGATGCCGATTCTAATTCCAGTGCTCATGACTTTGAGCAGCTTTTTAATTTCATGCAGTCATTTTTGCGACTGTACGCCTTTTCCAAATATTTTGATTTTAATACAAAATTAACATCTGTAATCCCTACTGGTCAGAATTTTTTACGACACTAATTAGTGAAAAACGCTGAAGTGGCCTACCGACGTACCTATTTACGGATTTTGTAAGCAACACATGACGTTGAGGAATGATGCATGACGTTGAGGAATGACGCATGACTCGCTTGTATGTTCAAGACGTACATAGATATTAAACTAACTGCTCATGACAGAACATCTAAATAAGCATACTAGCAATTTAAAAATTGCTAATTTTTTATCGACAAAAAACCTGTATGTGCTGATAATTCATCTACACTGAAATGTAGTTATACCGTAATGTGGCAATTTTAGATGTATTGGGATTGAAAAAATAAACTTAGCAATTAATTCCTACACCAAAGTAGACGGTGAATTTTTTTTTAAATTTCACAATTTATTGACTTTTTACAATAACTTTCATGTACTAGAATGAAAAAGAAATCTCCAGGGCAGTAACACAAATAGATATGGGAAAAGTTTGATCAGTTGGCGCTTTTCCAGCAAATTCCAATAGAGTCCAATAGTAAAATTTGACGACTTTTGAGATGGTCCCTCAAGAAAACGGGGTGGTAAACTTTCGATTTTTTAAATCTTAAAACAATAATTCCAACAGTAAAAATTAATTATTAAAATTATAAAAATTCCTAAGACAGAAATAATTAGACTTGGTCTCTTCAATTAGTGCAGATTCATGTCTGCTGAAATCATACCCTGACCCTTTGAAGGAAAGTTCGGGACCTTTTGTGGATTTTAACTTTTCAATACTGAACTTATTTCTGCTTTTTTCCTAACCACAGTGATCAGGTGAAGAGGGTTACCCTTGATCCTCTTGATTAAGACTCCGAACCACTATGTTTCAATTTTTAACAAGCATTTTTGAACGTGTGAATAATTCATAACCAAACGATGTTTTATATGTATTAATGACTTTAACCACACAATTGAAAATTAGGCAGGTGTAAAGACGAATAATGACCCCCATCAAATAATGATCGGGGGATCATTTTTCAACGACAAAAAATGACCCCCACCCGTAGAAAAATATCATTTTTTGTAGAAAAAGGATCCTAGGGGGTCATTATTTTATTTGCTAGTCCTATAAAATAATGACCCCCATTGAAAAATGACCCCCTTTAAAGTGATACAAAATTTACACTCTTTGATATCTTTTTTACAGCGAAACTTATTTTTACATTTTCTGTAACCAGAAAAATACAAAAAGTCGTATGAAATAATCAAGAGATTCACGTTGTCTTTCAATGCTAAAACTGTGTTTGAACAGAGATTGTCAAGTTAATAAAATTTCTTTTTAATAATCCTCCTTATAATGTTTGCTCAAAGAATGATATTCCACTTGTTTTTAGAAATCAAACCATGCAAAAATCAGGTTTAAGTACTCTTTAATAGAAAAAATTAAATTTTCCGTCATTTCAACTTTTAGTTTGTTTAAATTTAGCAAATACTATTTGACAATGAAAGAGGAGAAAATCCCCCCCCCCAAAGAACATTACGTTAAATCAAAACAAAAAAATAATAATAAAAGAGAAGCAAAAATGTAAATAAAACTCTATACCTTTCAATAATTCTGAAAGAGGCTCTAGATAAAATATAGAAATGAAGTTAAGCCTTCACACAAGTACTATCATGTCATAATTTATTTCGTCATGATTAAAGCATACTTTAAATGTTGGTGGAGGTTTACTTGAAAGTATTGTGGCTAAGTAACAGTTAAAAATTAGTAGAATAGTAGATTATTTTTAGCTTATTTTTAATTCCTTCTTATAGAAAAATAAAGGTATGGTGTTTTTTGCTTTTGTTCAATATCGACTTCCTCCTAAAAAAGAAAGGGGATGAGGTAAGGATAAGTCCTAAAAATATGCTCTATAAAGCTATGGGCTAGTGTAAAATACACAGTCATTCTAATGCAAAAACTATACATGTAGACATAAACTTTTAATTTAGCACACAGTATTCATTACATTTCTTTTAATATAGAGCATTTTTCGTATGACATCATAACTGCTAAATGTGTTAAACCTGTGCTAACCCATTCATATTTAATTCAATGCCACTTTTTCCCATACTTGACAGCTTCAATAAAAATGGTAGAAAATATTGCATTTTGAAATTCAATCATACCAACATAATCTTAATTCAATTCATATATATTTTTCTTTATAATGCTTGATGGTAATATATTTCTGGAATAAGAGAAAATATGTAGGCACCTTTTATTTACCAGATCTAGACCTGAAGTTGACAAACCCAAGGCTATCTTGTGTAATGAATTTACAATGTACATACAACTTTCGTAATAATTTGAATGTTATGTAACCATTTTGAAGGAATGCATAAATCGTAAGAAATCTTGAGTTGCCAGCCATATAGTGTAATATCTTGATGAAATGTGTTTAAGTTAAAGATGTACGTGTTGTTGATCGTTTGATCGTGTGTACATTTTTGTGTTATCTATAATGAAATGATGTGCATTCCTTTTAACAATTATTTGTTACCTATTCATATTCTTGGTGTTTGATTACAATTTTTCTATAAAATATGGTCTTTTTAAAGTAAAAGTACAATTTCTGATAAGTATTTAATCTTAAAGTAGCCCCAAACAGTCATTTAATTATTAAAATCCGTGTAATTGCAAAAAGGTCAAGAATATGAGTATCAGTAAATAGTCTATCGTTCAATGGTTAGAGGGGGAAGGTATATATTTTAATAATTTTTTTTTTGTAATCGTTTGGCTATGTTCTTCATCATATTAAAGATTGAAATTATTGTGACAAAGACTTCTAAAAAATATTTACAAATATAGGGTGCATAATTGACTAAAATTAATAGAGTTCAGTTGACTAATTTTTTTATGGTTGACTTATCTTGTATTTTTGTGATTTTTCATATATCCTTAATGACAAGTACCCCTAAACATATTTGAAAATGTGAAGTCGCAGTATATAAATACCACACCAAGTTTCACAGCCTGTTCTAGATTAAAAAACAAGGAAACATATGATATCTTAACTGATTGATAAGCAAGTACTTTTTTATCATTTTGAAAAGTTTGAAAATCTTGTGACAAAGACTTTTCCGACATAGGCTCTACTTTAATTCTTGTTTCACACAACCCTTTTACTCAGTTCTGAGTATATTTTTCAGAGAATTTAATATGAAAATCAGAACAAACATTTTCATCGTTGTAACGTCTTCTTTATAATGTATATTAATATGAAAAGTTAATTGAAGACCATTTCTTTTTATGTCCCCGTAATAGAAGATTCGAGGGTTTATAGTTTTATTGTGTTCGTCTGTATGTCCGTCTGTCTGCCTGGCGGTTTGTTTGTCCGAAAAAACCTTAAACTTTACCATAACTTTACATTTATTGGAGCTATGACTTTCATATTTAATATGTACCGGTATATTCTTTGTGACAAGAACTTACTTTTGGTACCACCAAATTTGACCTTTTGACCTCTACCTTGGAGTTTTTATCCCATTTTACACAAAACTGCCAAATTTTACTTTGACCAAAATTTTTAAACGATAGATACTAGTACTCTCATACTTCAAATATGTAGTTTTTTGGCATTACCTTTCATTGGATACTAAAAACATTTACCTTTTGACGTTGACCTTGGAGTTTTCCGTACTTATGATTTTTTTTACCTTGGCCATAACTTTTGAACGGTAAGGGCTAGGGTATTCATACTTCACAAATGTAATCCTTGTTACATTAAACATTTTCTTAAGAAATCATCAACTTTGACCTTGAGTTTGACCTATCTTTCAAAAACTTATCTTTAGCCATTACTTTTGAACAAGTGGTGCTAGGACTTTCCTATTTTGCAGTTGTATTTCTTGTGAGAAGACCCTACTTTGGGTAACAATATATTTGAATTGCATTTAGGAAAAGTTTAATCTTCGCTTTGTTGCCATACAGGGGCATAGCTGTTTCACAAACACATCATTTTATATATGAGGATTTGCGGGTAAGAGTAAGATGGATACCTCAAAGCGTAACAGACGGACGGACGGACGGACATCCCGATCACTATATACCCTCCCGTTTTTCAAACGGAGGATATAATAATATATAATACTGCTGATTTTTTCTGTCAGTTCGATGATTTCCACCATCAAAAAACAATGTTTACCTAACCCTTAAGGCTTGATAAATCTTTTACTCCTTTAGATTCTGAATCATTGCATTTACCTTAAAATATACTACAATGGTGTTATGAGATCAACATATCATCAGTTTATTCCCAATAAGCTCAGGTGAGCATTTTGGCCAATATGCTTCTTTATCCAATTTTTTTTTGCCCCCTAAAAATTTTTGCTTTAATCTACAGGGGGTAATTTTTCTACGGGGGTCATTTTTCTTCACGTGGGTTCTGCAAATTTTTAGTGAAGTGACACTTTTTCTACGGGCAAAAGGGTCATTTTTCTACGTCGAGTAATGAACTGGAGTCATTTTTCGCTGTCGAAAAATGACCCCCGGTCATTATTCGATGGTGGTCATTATTCATCTTAAAACAGGCATAGACGAAGATAAAAACAATGTCTGAAAGTCGCTATAAAAATCGTTTAAATAATTCTGCTCAATCAGACGACAACACCTTAATTACCCTAAAATATTTCAAAGAATAAAAGAAAACATATTTTGTGGGGTTTTTTTGTTTACAGACTCTTTTTTGGAAAAGACTCAATGTCATCTCAAAGGGTTAGAAAAGTAGATAATTCTTTGAATGTTTTCTCCGTAGTCTTGCAAAATGAAATATGGAAAAAATACTAAATTCTTAAATAAAATAGCAAAGATGGACAAATCATATTTAGCAAAGGTTTACAGATAAAAACAAATTTCAGAATATGTAAGCTTAGTGCTTAAAGTGTATTATAAACTTTAAAAAAATATTCCAAGGCAGGTGAATTTTATGAGGAAAAAACAAATGGTGAAGAATCAGAAAAAATACATTGGCAGATATTCACAATTGTGCTTTTCCGTATAAAATTAAAATAGCTTCTTATCTTTTAACGTTTTCATGTTAAACTTTGATCCTCATGTCTATGTTGAATTTTGATCCCTCATTTTTGCCCAACCATTAACAACTTAACATATTTTAACATACGCCTCTGTATTTATATGAATAATGGGTTTGCTGTTGTCGAGAAGGTTTTAAAAGATATGATCTTGAAATTATATTACACAATATGTGCAAAATCTCCACGATACATTTTGTCACCCCTGACAAAATCTGCCGATGAGTGACTGTATATTTTGTCGTCCATTACACATGGAGGTATAAAGGCCGGTTTCAATGTATGTTTTGTCACCGGCTACAATAATATGTACAAACGACAGTATATATCGTGATAGACCGATTTGATAATTAACCATATTACACAACTTTTCAAAGACCAATGAATGAACATTATTTCAATTGTTTCTATTTGATTGATTGCTTAATTGATTGGTTGGTTTTATGTTGTTAAACGCCCCTCTCAAGAATTTTCACTCATATGGTGACAGCACCACTTGTCGACGAAGAGCTGTCACCCACTATTGTTGATGCCCTGTCATAATCTCCAAACTAGACAGTGATTCCTTAATTACCAGAAATATTTTTTATCATATATGTTGGAACCAATGTACCTAATTATGGATGTTAACAGAAGGAGAAATGAAGTCCCTATTTTTGATATTTCAGATCAGGAGTGTTATAAATTTTCACCGCCAGTATCAGAAAATGCAAACGTGTAAGTATAGTTTCTGAAAATTTTTAAATAGCCGAACATGTCTTACATGTAATTGTGTTCTTTATTTTGAAAATAAAACCAATCAAGAAATCAATGTAAACAATATATATTGTGCTGCCGAATTTAAAGGAAAAAGAAAAAAAAATCACTATGCAGGCAAATGAGATCAACTTGATTTATTTTCAATAAGTCAGCATCAACGATTACATTTGGAATGCTAGTAGATTTTGCAAAGTGAAAGTTTGCATGTATTGGACATAATCATGGTTATTAATTAATTATTAATGGGAAGGACAGTGCCTGCTGTCCAAAAATATTTTTAAAAACAAAATTAATCATGCCTGTTGTTAAAAAATACGATATTAAAAACTACTTGTAAACCATTTTCCTTCTATTTATAGGCAAACGAAACGTTTGAAACACTGTTAAAAAAATCTCATGCTAGTATCAATAAACAAAAAAAAAATTTCTTAAATTCACATGCATATGTATTCTTTAAAAAACCCAAAGCAATACCTGGAACTTGTGTTAAGCAAACATTTTTGTCGACCAATTTTTGCCGTGATGTATTATTTATAGCTTGGTACAGTTTAAAGAAAATTCAATCCATTAGGCAAAAGACTCCAACAAATCCTAAAAATAATCTGTTTTTCCACATAATTTTTTTTATCAATATATACATATTTGTTATTTCATTCAGTAAAAGTATAATTCAAGAGCTGTTTGTTTACAATGTATATGTACTTGCACATGTAATTTTTCGACCATTTTCAGATTCTCCTATATTTGGATCGGATGGATATTTATAGTTACAGCAGCAATTACAGGAATAGTAATCATAGGAGTGATATGTTATCGTAAGAAATTAAAAGAACGGAAAAAAAGATCAAAGGAATATTTTCCAGGTTTGTAATATACCACTGGAGCCAAATAAGTGTTGCAATACAAATGTTATGTTTTCATTTATCCTGTTCAACTGTATTAATCCTCTCTCGAAAAAAAACTTAAAATTTTATGTCAAAAAGAGGGATGAAAAGAAAAATTCTAAGCACTGCCAATACAACGTATCTTTGTTTTTACTTATTTACTAGTTTTTGAGTCACATCAACACAGGACACAAAACTTATTGCTGCCTGGATTCATTACAAATAAATCAGCATCAAAATAAAAAAAGAATTAAAATCCTCCCTGCTCCTGGGTATTAAACTGACTAAGTACATAGTTGTGATAAACAAGAATGTCTCTTCTAAAAGTTTGATTTTAGGGCGGCTGGGTCAGGGGATTTGGTGTTAGGATGGGGATCTTTAAATAATATTGTGGAAATACATTTATTCTTTGAACCTTCTCTGCTCTATGGTAATAAATGAACAAAACAATAGAAAGTTATGATGAATAAGGCTGCCTAGTGAGAATATATTCTTTTAAACCATCTCCTCTGGTCCTGGATATTGAACCAATGAACTATGTACCTAGTTATGATGAGGAAAGATGTCTTTTCCAAACATGGGAATTTCATGGCCCCCAGTCAAGGGTTCTGGTGTTAAGGGTAGACTCTAATGATTGTATAGTGAAATGTATTAATTTTTTATGAAAGTCCTTTTCTTTGCTCATATTATACCAATGAACATGACTATATGTATGATAAGAAAGAGCGTGGCCTCTTCCAAAATGGTTTATTTCAGGACACCTCAATCAGGGGTTATGGTGGTGGTGGGTACCTAATCCGTAAAAAATAAAGTTTGAATTCTGTTCCTTGATATTATTTATGCATTTATGACAAAAGAAAGTCTATAATATTTTCAAAATTTTGAAATATGTGGCCACATGGTTAGTGGTTTCTGAGGCGTGGGCTGCACAACTGGTGGTTTTAACGAGAAAATACATTTTCTCATTGTTAATCTGATCTACATCTGGGTATTTACAATACTGGTTCTTTCAGAATTATGAATTTTATGGCTTTTGCTTTAAACCATGAAGCAATTCAATTGTATGAAAGTTGTAACATAATACCCAGGTGACCTTTTAGGCCTGTGGGCCTCTTGTTCTTCATCAGGTTACATGCTTTCATTTTAAACTTATTTTGTTATTTAATTTTAGGGGAAAAAAATTCATATGAAAAGTTAAAAAAAAACCCTCTTTCCTTACATGTGTTGATACGAGTACGCAAGTGAGTTAAGGCTAAATATGGATATTTCTATGCAAATAAGCTTATGAAAATTCATATTTTGTATATTTTATGTACAGAAGAGGTTCAAATTGATTTTCTTATACATACTCAGTACCCACAGTTTATAATTGCAGGTGCTCATTATGACGTCATATTATGACGTCATTGTTCTTTCCCATTCAAGGTTCTAAATTATATAAACAAAATCACGTCGGCGCAAGGGCTTATCCTACCTAATTTAAAATAAACAATGTATAATATTAAGGTGAATATTCTTAAAATTAATAAAATTGCTGCACAAATCCTATGCACTTTCTCAATTGATAAAAAGTTTATGAAACTTACACTGGACAGTGAATTTTTACCCTGTTAAAACTTAAAACTGCACGAATAGTACAGTCCCTGAAACGTTCTACTTTCCCATTTTTCCGTTCGCTCACCGTTCGTTCACCGTTCGTTCAGCGTTCGTTCAGCGTGCGTTCACCGTTCGCTCTTCGTTCACAGTATTGCGTTCACCGTTCACCGTGCGCTCCCGTTCACCGTTCACAAAACGTTCACCGTTCGCTCTTCGTTCCGTTTACTTTGCGTTCACCGTTCACTTATCGTTCAGTCTTCATTGTCATTCGGAACTCCGAAGGGAAAGGACTTATCTTTTTGATGGTAAGGATTTACATGTTTTTAATTAATTTATTGAAATATAACTTATATATCGTGTTAGAAGAATAATTATTTCATTGCAAAAATTATCTATATATTTATATTTCTATTATTATAACTCAGCTGTTACTTATTTCATGAATATTCCCTAGAAAATAATTAATACATTACATTAAGTACCTACATGTATGTAGAACGATGCTAAAATATTAACTTTAAAAAGGGCAATGTACAAATGTTTCACGCACGGCATCAATTTGATGTAATTTTAAAGAGATTAAATTATTAATAGATGTATAATAATTAATAAGTCTTATAGAACAAGAATAAATAAAAAAAAAACTAAATAAAAGAACTATTTCTAGAGTAACACGTATTTAAACGACATATAGGTTTGAGAATTATGAACAGTACTGCAAATAATAACTTACTAATTAACTAAATATCTCTAGAGATAATTTAATTAATGGTGTGGTTTTAAATTTTAGAAACTGTTTAAAATAGTCTATTATTAGAGAAGGAAAATTCCTTCCTTCACCGTACCTACACATTTGTTAAAAAATTTTTTTTTTGCCATTTCT